CTGCCGGCGTGGTGCACGCCGTCTCCACCGCCTGCGCCCTCGGCAAGCTGCAGGCCTGCGGCTGCGACCAGAAGCGCCGCGGCGATGAGGAGGCTTTTCGGCGCAAGCTGCACCGTCTCCAGCTGGAGGCCATGAACCGCGGCAAAGGGATGGTGCACGGGGTGCACATGGAGCACATGCCGGCCGAGACCCCCGGCCTCCAGGACTCCTGGGAATGGGGAGGGTGCAGCCCCGACGTGGACTATGGGGAGAAGTTTTCCAAGGATTTCCTCGATTCCCGGGAAACCTACAGGGACATCCACTCCCGCATGAGGCTGCACAACAACCGCGTGGGGCGGCAGGTGAGCGGGGTGCTGGGCAGGGGTGCGGGGCGATGGTGGCAGGGACAGGGTCCCTGGGACATGCGTGGGAGGGCTGCAAGGGGCTTGTGCTGGCTGCGATGGGACACGTGTGCGAGGCTGGGATTGCCCCCAAGGGACCCCCTCTCCTCCATTTTCCCTGGAGCAGAGGCAGTGGTGCAGCCCTGCTGCCAAGCATCTCTGCTGAGGAGGGGACCTCTGAGCTTCGCTGCTGTCCCCCTACCAAGGGACACTGCCTCAGGCCACTGTCACCTGCTTGTGCTGCGGCGGTGCTACCGGGGTGGCATGGCAGTGAGTCCAGCTCCTGCCTCTACACCAGTTCACCGGGTGAGCTGCTGCCGGGCAGCTGCAGCGGGAGAGAGCTATGGACAGGGAGGAGAAAGTCACTGGCATTGTGGGGACACAGCACAGGCTTCTCAGCGCCTGGCCGTGGCTCTGCCTCCAGAGAGTGAGATGGTGCCCCGAGGAGGCAGATGTGAGTGGGACCGAGCCAGGCAGTGGGTGCCTGTGCCAGCTGGGAAGTGCAGCATCCCCTCGGGAGCGGAGGTGACAGCCCACAGCCTCGTCCCCCGGCTCTGTGGGGGTGCTGGAGCCTGCCCAGGCGAGCAGGGCCGCCTCCCCTCCATTCTCATGATGTCAGGTCTCGTTAAAAGTGCTAATTAGTAGCTCGCTCTGTCTGGAAGCTGATGTTTAAAAGCAGCCTGACACTGGAGACAAGAAGCACACAGGCAGGAGGGGCTAGGAGGGCGGCTGCGTTTCCCCGCCTGGCTTTGCTCCCAGCAGGTGCAAGGGAGATCCCATCCCATGGATCCAGTGGGAGATTTGTCCCCAAGACCCCAGCCACATGCTGCCAGGGCAGCGCAGCGGGGTGTGTAGTGGCTGTGGGAATAAGTAATTAAAGATCAGAATTCCCCAGGGAGTGTTTCCCCAGGATGGCTCAGACTTTTGGATGTGCCGCTTGCTTTGAGTGTGTTTAAAGCCAGCAGTGAGTGAGATGAGGACGCTGCAGAGCAGGACCTTGATGTGTGCCCTTCCCTGGTGCTGGAGCTGAGCTTTACCACCTGGAAAAGCTGTCCCAGTTTGGCCAAGCTGTAAATGCCTGGGGAAAGCTAGCACTTTTTGCTTGTTTGGCTTTGCTTGCTCGTGCGTGGTGAAGGCTCAGTCAGTGTTAGGCAGCTAAATCCTCCGCAGGCTGCTCTGCCCTAAACCAGGCAAGACCCTCTGTCCCAATTCTGGCTACAGGGCTCGTCCTGGCTCCCCTCCAGCTCTGCATGACCCAGACTGCTGGGACTCATGGCAAAGCTCAGAAATCTGGGGTCTGTATTGCCTGTTTCCCAAGGGCAGCCCCACAGCCCCCTGCAGAAGGAGGAGAAGTTGAGAGAGGAATATTTGCATGGAGGGGGATGTCACCACCTGGTGCCTGTGGGATCCAGCAACAGCAAAAATGCCTGGGGTCTGCTTGTCCCCAACGGCAGGCAGGCACAGGGCTGGCAATGTCAGCGCTTGGTGGCTTCAGAGACAAGAGCTGGACTGATGGAAGAAGCCTGGGAGCTGGAAGCAGAGGAAGACCAAAGGGCTAAAGGAGGGGATGATACCGGTGCAGGTGGGGAAGCAATGGCTGGCCAGGCTGCCCAGCTCAGGGACCCTGTTGAGATGAGGGTCTGAGCCCGTGTGGGGCTCGGGCTGTGATGGCTGTGGGTGCCATGCGTTGGAGCAAGGAGATGATGCTGTGCCTGCTCTGTGCCTGTTAATGCCATGCTTATTGCCGGGGCTGGACCTGGCCATCCACGTTGCCTGGGGATGGGTTCTCCAGCTCCCCGTCTGCTCGTTTAGCAACGCCATGGGTCTCACAGCCACCCAAGCCCTCTTCACTCCTAGGACCATCCTTCTGCTGTAATAAGGAGAAATCTGTTGCGATTTCCTGGGAAAGGAGTGGCCGTGGTGGATGCAGCAGCTCTGCGGTCCTCTCCTCCAAGTCCCGAGGCTTGAACCCCTTCAGCAGAGCAGTGATGTGGACACACATGCCACGTGCCATGCCCTGCCACGCGCTGCCCCTCTCCATGCACTGAGCAGCTGCAGCACGCAGCGGTCTCCAGCATCTGACAGATGCTGAGCATCCTCTCTGCGGTCCCTGCGCATCCCAAGGGTGCTCTGTACATGGGTGAGCCTAGCTCCTGGCTCAGACCCTGCAATGCCAAGGGAAGTGACAATCCCACCAACAGCCACATCCTATGGCCATGGGGTGTGGGTTTCTGTAGTGTAGTGGTTATCACGTTCGCCTGACACGCGGAAGGTCCCTGGTTCGAAACCAGGCAGAAACACGCTGATCTTTTCTTTGTTTGCATCCAGCTATGAAGCCGGGGAGGGACTGCCGCTGCTGGTTATGTGCTGCAACCTCTGGTGGTGGCAGTGGTCACCTTGGTCTTGAGTTGGGTGTCCTGCATCCCTGAGACCGAGCAAGTTCCCCAGCGAGGAGCAGCAGGAGCCTGCAAAAGGCTTTGCAGGTCCTCCTAACCTGCCAGATCAGAGAGCAAGAGAGGATGAAAGGCAGCCAGGAACTACCCATTACCCTCACAACAAAGACCTATGATAAAGCTCTTATGAGCGTGTCTGGGAGGAGCTGGGAATGTGCGAAAGAAAGCACCAGCGAGCCCAGGCATGTGCCGAACTCGGGCGTCTGTGAGACGGGGGGAAGGACGTGGCCAGCTAGGGGTGCATGGAGGAGATCTGATGGCAAAAGCATGGGGCTGAGGCTCAGCTGGGTCCTTCTCTGGTCTCCCGGTTCTGGCAGGGCCCTGTCCCCCCTGCACCACCCATGCTGGAGGGCAAACAAGCCTTCCCTGGGGAAGGATGGATGGGTGCTGCGGTGCTGCGGTGCTGGGGCTTGGGATGCTCAGTGGTGATGGCTTGGGTGATGGAGATGGCACATGCACACTGTCTTCTCCAGCCCCTGCTGCAACCAGCCGCAGCCTGAAATGAACCCCTGTCCATCTGTCATGCCACTGTCCCCTCCATCCCAGCCACAGCCCTATGTACAGATTTTCCGTGGTCCAGCCAAGGGAGCAGGGAGGGGATGTGGGAAAGGATGGGGTCCCAGTGCCACTGTGTTCCTGTGGATGGTGACAGGGACCGTGGTGAGCAGCCGGCGCTCCGGGCTGGCACACCCAGGGCACGGTGGAAAGGCCGGGCAGCTCATTACCTGCGAGGTGGAGGCTGTTCTCAGCAGGAGACAGGACTCTCAGCAGGATGAAAGCCAAAGTCAAGCCCAGCCCAGACCTCTCAGCCATGTGCCCCAAGCTCCAGGCGTGTTTCCCTGACCTGTCTTCATTACCATAACTACTTAGCAACGAGGAGATTTACTCAAAAACAAGAAAACAAGGAGTAAAAACTGCCCACCCCTACCAAAAGAAGGCACTCCTCGCACAAGTGTGCCCCTCGGGCAGGGGGCAGGAGCAGGCAGTGCGTGTCAGGCGTGAAGCCAGGCAGGGCTGGCATCATGGGACGGGACGTTGCGCAGGGCCATGTGTCCCCTGGGTTTCCCCCGAGCCCCGGAGCGTGACCCTGGGTGGGGGGATCAGCCTGTAACAGCCTTTGTAAGCCGCAGCCCAGCTCCTTGTGGGACTTGGGTGTCCCCGTGGGAAGGGGATTGCCCAGAGGGGCTGCACAA